TGGCTGAATGACTACAGGCTGGGCAGTCTATCCAGAAAAACCCTCCTGATTTTTTTCTTCCGCTAACTTTGTAGTCGGGTTGAGATTATCAGAACAACCAGAATATTCGACTGAACGACCGTACATGGCAGCTACCCCATACCAAAGACCACGGAGCTAACACACACGATATTCGCCAAAGGACGCATATAGGCTGCTCAACCAGTACCGCGCACGCAAGATGCAATTCCGTGTTCTAATAAGGTTTGAAAAAATATCTGGACTTTGCTTGACCTATTCGCTGAAGACTTCCCCTATGGGGTTGCATCAGTGGGTAATTTTGAGTTACGGTCGTTATGAACGAGCTCACTAGGGGCAGAATCCGACCCGTGTAATTCAGGTTACTGTACATGGTTCGCTAGAAATGTACATACAATTTTCAGCACAGTGATCTCAGGAGCGCAAGCTTGATCGAAGTCTTCGTTCCTGACAGGCTTGGTAAAGAATCGGTGGATTTATGTTCTCATTTGTTTCACCTTTAACACGAAAGCTTCGTCGGGCCGAGTGAAGTTAGTTGAGTTTTGAAATGGAGAGTGAACCAGAAAACTCTGAGTATTGAAGGTCAGTTTTTATGGCTGATTAGGGTGGATAATGCTTGTGACTGATGGCTTAGAGAATCTGGTTAGATCGTATGGTTGTAAACTGTAGCAGCCATTGTTGGGATTGTGAAGTGGCCCGTGAAGTTTCCGTATTCTGTAAAACCTTAGCTGAACAGTAATTTTGGGATACAGTCACTTGTCTCAATTTGCTTGCCACAAATGTTAGATACGCTCAGATTCCAGTTACGTAGCCACAAGGAAAACATTGGGTGAACTCTGGCTGAATAATGATGGGCAGTGGAACTAACAATGATGAGTGGGACATCAGTAGTATGTATATCTTATAGGGGTTTTAATGGCATTTGATCACCACTTACAATGAACTCAGTGGACTCTGCACCACTTCTCAGTGCTAGTACAACAGTATTTTGCATATTAGTCACGGAAAACGTCGTGTCGATGGCGACTCTCGGACAGTAGCGTTTTCGACTGAGGATAAAAATGATGAACTGATTGACGTGGAGCGTCAATCAACTGGTGTTTGTGGTGCAGTATTGGTAGCTGCGATAAAGAATTTTGTGTCTGTTCCTCAACAAACTTCGCGACAACAAACCGCGAAAAAGGATTCTGTTGGATTTTCGAAGGTTTTCAAATGAAACAGAATCCCCAAAATCCTGAATTCAAAGGCGTCTCCAATTTCCTTCAGGTGAATCATGACTTATTCGGTAATGAACCATATCCGCCTTCAGACTGAGCTTTCGCTTCTGAGGGGCGAGATGGCTCAGTGGTTAGAGCGCGAATTTACTGACCGAAAGGTTCATGGCTCAAACCCGACCTCTGTCTCTCGACTTCCCCTGTCTAGGCTTGGGCAACCTGGTAGTATCCCAGCCGTCGAGCTTCCTTCTGGTGGCACGGCAGTCAGGCGCCGAAAAGGTGCTACAACTGAATGATTAACTTTATTAACTTTAATTTCAGAAAGTCTTGGTAAGCAATCGTTAGTTTCTATTTAAGCAACGTCTCGCTTTTGACAAAAGCTCTATCAGGCCAAGTGGACAAAGTCACCAAGTTGGCCAGGTTTTAAGGCAGACGGGGAACCAATCAGATTATCACACTAGACCATTGTTGAGTGTCAATTAACGCCCATTGTCGGTTAGTGTGTTGGCCAAAATCTTGAATTGATGGGTTGGAGGAGTTTCATCTTAGTTTCCATCGGCTCTTGTTCCTTAATCGTGTCAGCTCGACTGAACCAAAACCGTTCCCCACACGCTTACCAGTTCCACGCCTTCTATTCTGTTAACACTGGGATAATTGGTGATTTCTACCGCTTCGGCCTGTGTGATAGCAACAGTTTTCGTCCGACCTTTAAATGCCTTTTCAGTAGAGTATCTTTTTTAACATTCTGACTCACCACGGAGTTTCGAAATACTTGTTTCGACCTATATTGGAATTCAACTGGCTCTTTCTATATGTCTCAGTTCAAGTGAGGCTTTATTGGTCACCTTGCTTGAATGCCAATAATAGGTGTTCGTCTAGTATCTTTACTTTCGCTGTGTTCTCAAATTATCAAATCAAATGCATTGGTTTAATTCGTTCGGTTGAGTATAGTTCTTTCGGCGTCAGGTTGATTTATTGTATGGCTTTGAGACTTGGCCTATTCGAGCAGCGGA